TTATTTGTTTCTTAGGTTTTCACGCACATCACTCATTAAATAAAACTAGCTTTGACGGGTTAATGCACGAAACTTTATTTATTTATTGACGTTTCGTAGCCTTTACAGGCTACTTCGTCAGAATCAAATTTAATTTAATTTTGTCGAGCTACCTTCGAAAGACTTTTTATTGAGCGTTCAGTTATTTCATTGTTCGATTTTTAAAATTTTATTATCTATGTATGAATTTATTACTTAATTTAGTTAATAAAGTATTTTATTTAAAATTTTTTTTGTAATTTTGAGTTTATTTATTTGACCCTAACTATCGTAAACTACCACCGGTTCCAAAATTGGGAGACCTTCCTGAGAAGAACCGGTGAAGGAGATAGAAAGCCTCTCTTGAGTTTGTTTCGAAAGTAGCTCGACAAAATTAAATAAAATTTGATTCTGACGACGTAGCCTGTAAAGGCTACGAAACGTCAATTAATAAATAAAGTTTCGTGCATTAACCCGTAAAAACTAGTTTTATTTATTATTATTTATTTAATTTTGAGGTACGGTACCCTAAAAATGGCAATTTTCACGAAAATAATCTAAAATTCTCATGAATGAATTATTATGATTGAGCTTCAGACTTTTAATAATACTAATTCCTTTGTTATCTATAGACTCATTCAAGGTTTCTCCTGATTTGATTTGTAATAATTCAATAAGAAAGGAGATTTATTGCCTCGCTGGAGCTAAAATTCCGTGATCAATTTCTGTTCATTACATTTTATGCTTTCGAACATAATCGAATCATTTGTAGGAATTATAAATCACGTAATATTTAAAAAAAATATCAAGAGACTAGTTCATTGCGGAAGATTATTAGGCATGGAAATTGAATGGGAATGAAAAATAGGCCAAGTGCAAGTTCGAGTCTAGAATAAATAGTTAATATAAATATTTGTGTGTCAAACTGAAACTCATTTATTCAGTCTAGGCTGTTACAAGCAGGGCTTGAAACCGGTTTCAAAAATACCGGTAAACGAAGGTTAATAGCGGTTTTCAGTAAAGGTTTCGTTCGGAGCACGCCCGAAATGATAGCGGCACCTAAAACCTTAATAAACCGGTTTAATCCAGAGCGACACGTGCACGCGTCGGCATCGCTTGAAGTTTGTATTGTTTGAACTAATCAAGTCACAACTTGTTAATGCTCAGAGATTGGTACATTTATTGACACCTTTGCTAGCGTCTAGTGAGTCAACTTATTCATTTTGTAGTTGTGTATTTATTTCAGCCGTCAGTAAGAGCGAAATAAAACCCTTTTAAAACCTCTAAATTGATTCAAAACCTATTTATTTGATTTCGCTTTTTAGGAAAACCGGTTTTTTAAGGTTAAGGTAGAGCCAAACCTAAATAAAACGCTCCTAATGTACTTGACACTGATTTAGGTTTGAAAATTAACCGGTAAACAAGCCCTGGTTACAAGCTCATGTGAAAGTCATACGCTACGCCATCGGTTCGTAAATCTACGGCGGGAGACCTTTTACCGAGAAGAACCGGCAAGAAACTCAGCAATGGCTATTTTTTTCTCACCGTATTGTTTTATACAGTCATGTATGTGTCGATGTATGTGTGTATGCGCAATATGCTTAAATAAGCATAATTATATGTTTTATTTTGGTTACTTGTTAGCTGTTGAACAACCATTGATGCGGTATTTTCAAGATTCGTGAACCACGTATCTACGAACGTCCATGTGTCTTATTATAGTTACCATAAACCACTTGTCACTGTAATTAATAATGCAGACAATGTTGATTTAATGAATAATTAAAAAAATGATAATAGTCTGATAATAATAATTACATAATTTATCAACATTCCTAATGATGCACATCTGAAATTGACTATTGTAAAAAGTTTAATGTAAAATATTTCGTCGATTAGTTATAATAAATGTATATGAAATGAATAAATATATATTTATATATGTATATTATTTTCATTAATTTCTTAATTTACCCTTTCATACAGTATCAATCTCTTTTAAGTTAAATAAACTCTTTTTGCGTCTGGTTAGACTATCGAACTTAAGGAGTAAACTCCAGTCGTGCGTCGGAGCTGACACACACAATTTTTTGTTCTTAGATAAGGTTTCTCTTTTTTTATGTTTTTGTTCATAGGTTTTTTTTAATGTGTAAGATGGCCAATAAAGGTTTTTTCATTTCATAGTTGACCTAGCGAGCTTCGTGTCGTCTAACAATCGATAAATATGATTAATTTGTGGAAAAAGGTAATAGTGAGTCAAACTTTTCATCATTTATGGGTCAAGGTGTATATTTCTATAAAAAGATTCCTAATGATATTCTTGGTTTGACTCTTCATAAATTTAAAATACACATTAAGAGTTGCTTACTTAAGAAAGGATATTATAGTATAAAATAATATTTGAATTATAAAAACGGTACATAGGCCGTTTTTATTTTAGCTGTACATAATTTATGTTTTTTTTAAGCATTTAACTGCTAGATGTTAAAATCTAAAGAAAAGTTTTACTAGAAAAAAATCCACGCGGGCCAGGCAGCGGACGGGACTCGAATCCGCACCCTTCGCAATCCGGGCGAATTCACTGACCAATTATGCTACCACGGCCCTGATGGCCGCGTCGAATTTTTTTTCAAGTAAATCTTTTCTTTAGATTTAAATATCTAGCAGTTAAAAACATAACTATAATTGCTATTTCTTCTTTCAAATGTTTAATACTTGTAAAAGTATTCATTTGACATTGTGGGTTGCCTACAATGCGAAGAGATGGCGCTGCCTTGCAGCTTAAGGCTAGAAAATTTTCGACGCGGCCATCAGGGCCGTGGTAGCATAATTGGTCAATGCATTCGCCCGGATTGCGAAGGGTGCGGGTTCGAGTCCCATCCACGGCCTGGCCCGCGTGAATTTTTTTTCTAGTATAACTTGTATTTAGATTGCACATAATTTTTCAAAAGTTATTTATTAAAACTGGGGCCCTCAAAAAGAGTTTTGAAAAGAACCTTGCGGTTACTCCCTTTCATATACTTGCTCAATTTGTTTTAATATTGTTTCTTGCTATTTTGGGACTTTTCTTCACACTTATTGTTAGTAAATTCGTTAATTGTTTATTGTTACATATTTGACTTTATGTGATATAAGTTAACCTCGATACATGTTTGCAAGTTTGACGACACTGTATGAATTAAAACAGGGAGAAAAAAGCAGCCCTTTCTATGTTTCTTGCCGGTTCTTCTCAGTATATTTCGACTTTCACATATGCTTGTAAAAGCCTAAACTGAATACAGATTTTAAGAAAACCGGTTTTTTAAGGTTAAGGTTGAGCTTAACCTTAAAAAACCGGTTTTCTTAAAAAGCGAAATCAAATAGGTTTTGAATCAATTTAGCGGTTTTAAAAGGGTTTCATTTCGCTCTTACTGGCAGCATCGCCTAAGCCGTTTCAATTCAAAACAATGAATTTATGTCAGTTTTATTCCAACTACAGAGCGAATAACTTGACTCACTAGACGCTAGCAAACGTCTTAATAAATGCATCAATCTCTGAGCATTAATAAGTTGTGACTTGATTTGACTTGAAACAAAACAAAATTCAGGCGATGCCGACTCGTGCACGTGTTGCTCTGGATTAAACCGGTTTATTAAGGTTTTAGGTACCGCTTTCATTACGGACGCGCTCCGAACGAAACCTTTACTAAAATGGTTGCTTGTAAAGTCGGTTTTACGGGCGAAGATTTTACGTGACAACGTCTTTTTCTCGGTAGAATATTTATTGATATGAATATAATTAAATTGCACAATAGGAACAAGGAATTGAATGAAAATAAGAATTGCACAAATTTTAACTATAGAAATATATTTTGTTTACTAAAACATTGTACATGTAAACTTAAACTTAACACGAGAGACTCATCGTAACGTTACCGAGCGTTACACTTTTTCATAAGTGACTCCCAGCCGCAACCTAATTTAAGACGTTGTCACGTCAAAAACCGGTATTAACCTTTATTTACCGGTATTTTCGAAACCGGTTTCAAGCCCTGCAGAATAGCTGTTCATCCTCAATAGCGCCGATGCTACAGATAGAATGAATCTTGTAGTCCGCTCTGAACACTGCACAATTCGCGTCACAGTAACAAAAGCCAGACGAAGATGTTGTATACGACTGTACACCTGCACGAAGCAACTTCAGAGCAGGCTAGAAGTTCGGTCTTTTCCAGTTAAGATTCCAGCGTCATTGAAGCATCAATAAAATGTATAAGTTTGAAAAATAGGCGTACATTTTTAGATTCAACAATATTGTATGACATATGTCACAACCGTTACGATAGTATTACGTTAACGAATAGATTAAGATATATGGTACCCACCAGAACTCACTGTCGTAATACCTGTAAATTGTTTGCTATTGCCCGTTGCAACCAATGCTGGAAAAAGATCACCGTTCGATCGTATGACTAATACGTATAATAATTTATTTAATTCTTTGGATATGGCAACAGAAAACATATATACATACAGAAAGCTTTGCTTGAACTGCTACAAGCTTAACATCGCGTCTCTCACTTATTGGTCGGTCCATTTTTAGTTTACAATTTCCTTCTGTAATTTGCGGTAAACGTTGCTGGTGTCACAATCTCTTATCTATTAGACAAGTCCGTCCGTCCGTCTGTGGTGCTGTTTCAGCGGCCAAACCGTAAGAGATAGATAAAGAGAATATTTAAGTTATAAGTTAAGAATAGTCTGATAAGACTACAAACCGGATTTGAGTAACGTAGCACTTCCGGTTTTCGAGAAATCACGAATTTAAAAAGAAACTACACAAAATCTCCGAAGTTCTCAATTAATTTAATACATTTTTTTTTAAATCAGGTTTTGGTGAACATTTTGTTCACTGGTTTGCTAGTTATGTACTAATTATTTAAAATTTATTGTTTAAATTTGTGTTTAACTTAATAAATAAAAAAAACCCTATTTTCTTTTACCACCAGGCTCTGGCAACGCCTCCCTGGAGTCTGCGTTCTGCGCGATGCTGGAGATGCCGTCCTGGTACCTATGCGAGCTGAGCAGCTTGCTGTTCTTCATCCTGCCGGGGCTGATCATCCTCTGCCTCTACGTCCGCATGGGGCTGCGTATTAGGTACGTTATGGGGTAGGTATCTTGTTTCACCAGTTTATGTTTTTGCATTCTAAAGGCACAATTGTGAGTGGTTTGTACGCCGGGTTTCATGGTGTCGCCGACTCGAGAGGGCAGATGTTTGTGTGATGAATTTTTTTTTTTTATAGATTTATCCGACAAATGACTCCACCCCACCTGATGTTAAGTGAAGGTGAAGTCTAGACGTGAAGATAGCTGATACAGCAGTTTTACCTGCCACTTGGTTGTGCTGAATTCCATTATATTCTGTGGAAGTGTGTGACTGTCTAGTCTTGTTTACGAAAGATGGCACCTGAGAGGTCCTGCAATCATTTTCATCATTCGAAAATAGGGTCTATTTTAGGTAGATAATTTTCGTTCCATTTATTATTCCGCGTGTCATCTTTCGTGAGATACTGTACTGTCATGTAGTGTAGCGGCAATTTGGTACTTTGATAATTCTTTCTTTAATTATAATTTGTATTGTTATTATTACTGTGCTAGGCTGATCTAAATATATTTTGGGAAAATTGGTCCGATATATCGATATATCGATGTTCTTTTCGCGATATATCGAAGCCAATATTGGTATTTTTTAAAATATCGATGTATCGATATTTTTTTCAACCTTCTACATCCCTAACGCCGCGACTGCACTATGCATAGAACCATCCCTCAATCGCTTTGCGTCGTTGTCGCTCCGCGCCGCGGCTGCAGGCGGCAATGTTGCCGCGTGTCGGAATCAATTTCACAGTTTCATAGAAACAAATGGTGTTGCTACAGTTTGCAGTTACAGTTTGCGGTCTGCAGCCCGTCTCCGAATGGCACCTTAAGGCTACATTCAGATAACGACTATATCATGCGATTCAACTAAGAATAGGACCGACTGGGCGCCATGTTGTGACGTCATAGCTGTCAATTCAAAACAAATAGGTAGAGTGAGCAAAAAAAGATTTTATTTAATAAAACTTATTTACTAAGATTAAGTGAGAAAAAACATCAGATTTTTTTAATAATATTTATTTATTAAGATTATCAGTAATCTAATAATCTAGCTATTCGGCTCATCTCTGCATTACCGCTGGAGTAGTTATGAATAATCATGCACTATTACTAGGTCACTTACGAACATGCATTCTTATGTAAACGAAAATTTTAAATCGAGTTTATGTCTACTTAAAGTGACATTTGATTGAAGATTTAGGTTATGAACCATTCATAGCCAAAGCTCAATATGAAAAAAAAATATTAACCAATATTTGTTATATTTTTTTACAAATATTTGGTTTTTATTCTAGAATTAGCAGAGTGCTAAAAAAGGGTTCCAAGATTTTTTTGCAAACCTCACTTTTCAAGCAACATTTGACAGATGGAGGTCATTGGCTTTCCTAATCTTATTTGAAACGCATTATACGATACATATATTCCCGTCTATGAGATATTCGTTCACTAGACGATCATTTCCATACGATTTTTACGTTAAATTACACAGGCATTGTCTAATGTTGAGATGAAGTGGAGTGCAAACATTAATATTTGGCTTAACGGGCTTACTGAGATAATTTCTTAAAAGTCAAGAGAGAGAATAATTATTAATTAATACGCAGTATCACAAAACGGAAAGTTACAAGTAAAACTGCTTCCTTTATATAGAGGTAGGCAAATGGCTCTACACCACCTGATGTTCTGATGTTAAGTGGTAATAAAGTCCAAACGCGAAGATAGCTGGTACAGCAGTTATAAACTGCTACACCAATCATCCTCACCTTGCCGGCCTGCAAAAATGCTTCTTCACGCCTCTCTTAAAGGACCCTAGATTACAGGAAGGAGGGAACACTTGCGCAGGTAAAGAATTCCACTTACGAATAGTACGACAAAGAAATGAGTCACCAAATTTCTTTGTTCGTGTAGGAATAGTGGCCACAGTAAGTCGGTGGAAACGAAGGCCAGCGCGCGTGGTCCTCCGAAGAAAAGGTGATGGAGGGATAAGGGAGAATAGCTCCTCAGAACACTCGCCGTGGTATACTCGGTAGAATGCGCTTAATGATGCCACATCGCGGCGTAATTGTAGAGACTCGAGTTTCTTGGTTACATCTTCATCGCCAGTGATACGGACAGCGCCGCTGCAACCTATCCAAGGCATGGAGTAAGTACTTAGCAGATCCATACCAGAGGTGCGAGCAATATTCCACGCAGGACCGCACTTGTGTTTTGTACAACAAGCGCAGTTGATCGGGCGTGAAAAAACGCCGCACCTTGTTCAGGACTCCGAGTTTGTGTGAAGCTGTTTTGATCACGGTTTCGGTGTAGTCCTTTGGATTCAGGTCTGAGCGAATTTCCATACCGAGCGTGTAAGCATCCATTGCCTAAACTTATCGCTGCTTATTTGACAACACGTCGCGTCGCCGAAAATTCTGCTTGTAGACGGTGTAAAACTGAACTCAATGTATGCGTTACAGAAATGACACTATTTGGGCGCTGTGAGTAGACAATAATAGTCGAAGTCTTTTTTAAACATCAGATTTTATGACCAGAATATCGTATTGTGGCGGCGACATCTATATGCCCCACATATATACAACGGATGGAGGAAATCATTACTCACCATCCTCAGAAGATGGCGTTACCTGCACTGCGATCTTAATAGTATGGAAGCCTACATCGCGCAAATGAAATTCAGAGGCTAACTCTTCATATATACGATGCCCGACCAACATCAGTCGGGCCGCGGCCCCCGAGCTAACATCACCCAGCTCGGAGGAAGATCTTCCCCTTTGGCCTTCCTACAGTATTGTTGGTTTTTCGTCCAGTCTAAAATCATCATCAGCCTATTAAGGTCCCCGCTGCTGGGGCACAGGCTTTCTTTATGAATGGAATAGGGAGATTGGGCCATGACCCATCACGCGAGCCCAGTACGGAATGGTGGGTGCTAACGACTGCACATGCAGCCGGGACTAACGGTTTAACGTGCCTTCCAAAGCACGGAGGAGCTCGAGATAGTAAATTTTTGGTCACCCATCCAATTACCGACCACTGCGAAAGTTGCTTAACTTCAACGATCTGTTATATGTTTCAACATAGGGTAAGGGGAATTGACTTGACTGCCACTTACTTTGACCTGATTTATTACTTTGACCACGAATGCTATAGTAATTTGTAAACATTTTAACACTTGACATTGGCTAAATGCACAAACCGTGCGAAGCGATTTAGAAAAAAAAAATCTAGCAGACAAAATCTTTATTTATAATAAAATAGTTATTACCGATGGTAAAACCTCATTTAGCTCATCTTCTCTTTGATGTGCCCCGGTGTTTCTACTAAGAAATTTACCACCCAATCAAGCGGGTAATCCTCTTAGTCTAATTACTCTAAGCGACATAGACAAAGTAATCTTTAGCAGAAACTGCCTATCAAAGCGACCATTGCTCTAGAAGCACAAATGAAGAGAGTCGCATCAAGTGTTTTACAACGCCAAAATAAATCTGACACAAGAGTCTTTAATAAATTTTGTGCCAGTAGTAAGGAGTCAGTGAGGCGGGCGACAGAAACAATAACTTTAATTAATAACATCAACATCACAAAGCCTCCTCGTATTTCTGAGAAAATCCTTTTAGAGGATGAACAATATCAAAATGAACTTGCCTCCCTACCAAGTGACGATTTCGTTAAGGAGCTTAGAATCACAACGCCACTTGTGTTTCTGACCTTAACTAAGTAATTCTGTCTGAGATTTTATTATCAGAATTGTTGTTGTTGATATAACATTGGGATTACGTGGCTTAAAGTTTACTAAAGTACTGTAATCGAGACGTTAAAGAGATAGGTACCCAGATCGATTTGCAAATCCGAGCGAGTTTGACCCAGGGCTTGAAACCGGTTTCGAAAATACCGGTAAATAAAGGTTAATACCGGTTTTTAGTAAAGGTTTCGTTCGGAGCGCATCCAAATTTTTTATAAAATAATATATTTTATAGTACTTACGAATGAAAAGTGATGCCGTCGGTTTTATTTTTAGTTCTTGAGCATTTTTAAGCACTTTTCAAAAACACTCTTAGGCATTGTTTTATCATTTAAACACAAATTATTAGCAATATTTCTTTTTGGCGTTCACATGTACGTCTTTTGCATATGAAGTTGTGACTAAAGCGATTAGGGTCGTGAACCACAATTCATGCGGATCACTTTTGTGAGGCTAGTGCCGTATCTACCCTTTTTGTTTTAATCTAAGTGTCGTACTCATAAAAATGCCTAAGATATAACGTTCCGCACCAGAGGGATAGAACCGTTTTATTTTACGTACACAATGTTGTCGATTCTGGCGTGATTCTCTAAACCTAAACTTTTTTTTTGACAACAGTGTATCCTTGTCATTATCTATACAGAATGAAAAGGAGAGACTGATGTTAAATTTAGTTTTAAGTGTAGAGAATCATACCTAAATCGACACCAGTGTTAGCACCACGTCAGATCAATTATGGGTGATATGCAGTGAACGTGTTAAAGGTGTAGCTAAATTTGAAAACACTGATTCATGCATGATATTAAGCTTGTTGGACAATTTTACCACAAAGTAAAATATTCCTGTGGGACAAATTCTTTACACTAGTGTAGTCAAACTTATTGGTAAATTTTTCCTAAAGAATATGCCGTACAAAGTTATGGTAGGTATGTAAATATTTCATTCATCGAGGGTATCTGGTCTATAAGATTTTTCCTAATTAATATTATTATTCCAGTTGTCATTCTTAATTTTTCCTGGTCTTGTGCAGCTGTCCTACACAGGGCTTGTTTACCGGTTAATTTCAAACCTAAATCAGTGTCAAGTACATTAGGAGCGTTTTATTTAGGTTTGGCTCTACCTTAACCTTAAGAAACCGGTTTTCCTAAAGAGCGAAATCAAATAGGTTTTGAATCAATTTAGCGGTTTTTAAAGGGTTTCATTTCGCTCCCTGACGGCATCGATAATAAATGAACAACTTGACTCACTAAATGCTAGCAATCGTGTCAATAAA